CTTTTCTCTATTTTTGTTTGGACATTCAGCTCCTGCTATAAAAGAGCGTTCAGTGACCTGCAAACCTGAATGCAATATTCCAAAGGGTCTATCCGTACTGAGCAGAGTAACTTATGACTTTGTAAGTTTGATGATACATAGGACTCTACTGTATTTATAATCTTTCTCTTATTATCTAGATTGGTAAATTTGATGCCAACAATACCAATGCGGCAAACACTGTTGATGCCATAGCATCATTTATTAGAGTTCATAATCAAACATCCAAGGAAGCAGATGCAAGTACAGCTCTCGTGCATGTTGCAAAATTATTGGAAGATCATTTCTGCTTAAAGGTATATACTATTTACTTAATTTTACAAGGCAGCTATTGACATTTATATTTTTGATATTAGATGAATGAGACTATTGAGCAAGAGTTCTTGTGCTCACCAGTGGAGTGGATGAAATTTAAACTTTTACAAGGGGTTCGTGAAGAATTTGAAAAGCTCCTTAAAGACAAGTTCACTGAAAAATTTGATCGTAGATGTTCTGATTCTGATTGTGGTTATAGATGTGACTGGCTTGAATCTAAATCTATCCCCTATAAATTTAAATGTGATGTCTTTGCTTCTGTTTCCTGTAAGTGTAACGCGACTCTGGCTCAATAAAGAAAAGACAAAGGAAAACTTTCAGTTTATGATTACATTTGTACCGATATGTTATAATTTAAATTAATTCATTATTTATATCACTTCAGATTTTTGCGGTATACCGCCATATGACTTATAAAATTTAACACTTGAAATTATGGAGATTTATACTATTATTCTGACTTCTTATTTTTAATTTATCATTCCTTTGCCCATGCAACTTCAAAGGCTTGACCCATGCATTCTCATCACTATAAAAGTGCATACCAGGTAGCCTTGGAGTCAGTATTCACCTTGTGTGACATCATGAAGCTCATTACTCTTATTTGTGTTACAGTTTTATCATGTGAGAGCTTTGTACTTGCTACCAGGACTCAGTCTAATACTAGAATTGCCCAATGCAGTGGCTCTATTGCTCAACAAGAAGATAAGGAAATGAGATTCATTCTTGAATGGAGAACAGATAGTGATTTAAGTGCTGTGGTCCTTAGTCTTTCTTCTCACGCAAACAGGAGTGATTGGATTGGTATTAAACTACTCAGTGACATTGATAATGTCAGTAAATATAAAAGCCTGTGCAAGTATATGTAGGATGTAGCAATAATTAGATGTACAGCCCTACAAAACAATATTCATCACATTTATAACCTTATTTTTATTGATTGATATAGATTAAAGAGCATATCATAATTGCTGGTGTAGACTCCAATGGAAAGACCTACTTGAGTTACAGTTTAGCTGATGGAATTGCATCAAAAGAGTACATTAATAACATTACGTCGTCAAATTAGATTTTTGTTTATCCTATTTTTAGATTTTTCGAAACAAGCACAATGCCTATTGATGTATATAAAAGGATAAAATTTTCTTGGGACAGTTCTAAACTGAATATGCAGTATTTTATAGATTCAGAAGTTACAGTTCAGAAGGTGCTTGCAGGGAAGTCTTTTTACTCAACAAATTCTTCAAAAGAGCTTGTGTACAAGGTTCTTATGGAAAAAGAACTGGATCTTCAGCTATCACCAAAGCTGTGTTCATCACTGGGTATGTGTTTTGACTAGGCGTAATAAATTTTTATACAAAGCAATGATTGGCATTTTTGACTTAATGAAGCCTAGCTCATGCAACTCATATATAAGACAACTAGTACACTGTGGGGTCAAACCTTATTAATGGGGTTAATAGTTTCCTTCATTGTGGAATGATGAATAACTCTATGCTTGTTTATATTTAGTAATGTTAGAGCACCAAAAGGGCCGTTTATACAGACGGGGAATAGGTAAGTATCATTTCCTCAAAATAATCAATTACTGTAATTCATTTTTAAAATTAGATCAAGGACTAATGATAAGTAAGAATTTTATGATTGATTCTGCCTAGTTTACACTCTTTTGCAGTGCCAAATATAGAAATATCGAATTACGAAAACAAGTCAATCTTTTATCCTGGAGCACCTTTACTGTTACAGTGCTCTTTGAATCTGACTAATTATAGCTCCTTTTCACCAACAGTCACAAACCAGTGGATAAAAAACAACAGCATTATAACTAACTCTTCAAGGACATCACAATGCATCACAGTGTCTTCAGATATTTATGTTGCTGAATTATTCATTTATCCTCTTAATTCATCGACTGATGCTGGAGAGTACCAGTGCAATGTGACAGTTTGTGGTAATGATAGTGAATGTAGCAATAGCATCAGTGAAGCCTTACTAGTTGAAATAAGTGGTAAGTGCTATTATGACATTGGTCTTATTGCATTATGCTTGATGTTCTCATACCCACATGCTCATGCACTCAAGCATGTGCTGAATATTAGACAATGCAGAACCTTATGACAGTTTTAAATTATTGTTTTAGAAAAAATTAAGGGCTCTGACTTTATGCCTAAAACATATCCATCTCATTTTTATTGTGATGTGCTATTACGCTAATCATGCAGGTGGCTACTTTTAAGCTCCTTTTATATTTCTTTTTTGTAGATCTTCCACCATTATCAGTGGATCTGGAGCTGATAAGCACCAGCTCTTCTTTCTTCCTATTACAATGTAATGTATCCACTGATGATCGGTTAATATTCATGCCAAAAATCGAATGGTTTTATTCTGGAAGTCTCCTTTCAACGTCTTCTAATACTATTGAGAGTCTTGAAGTATCAGACCCAATGCCTGGTACATATACTTGTCAGGCTAGTATAGAAGTTGATGAATTTATGATTTCGTTTTCAAAGAATGCAAGCTACATTCTGCTGCCAGGTATGGCTTTAGGTTGATGTGGTTACATAATCAAATTAAGTTTCCTTTTATAGAAGTGTTACCAGTTACTGTGTCAGCTATGACTGAGCCAACATTTGGGGTTGAATATAAGCTGGTTTGTATTGTCAATGTTTCCTCTAATGTCTCAGTCAATGTGGATTGGTTTGATGAGTCTGGTTCACAAATACAATCATCATCATCATCATCACTGCATATAACAAACACTGTATTGCCCAGTTACTTTAATTCCACTCTTACATTTAGTTCATTAAGTTTCTCTAATGCTGGCACCTACACGTGCTCTGCTAGAATCAGCAGTTTGGTTGAAAGTGATAATTATACCATACGGATCCAATGTAAATTAAATAATAGTTCTATTCTTCTTTAATTATTTTCTATGCATAGTGCCTCCATTTGAATTGGGTGATATTACGCGAGACTATTATGGTACCTTGTACAGTGGGACTCCATTGGCACTTACTTGCAGCCTCAACTTAAGTACTATTGATACAACCTTTAGTGTCACTAATGAATGGATTCATAATGAAGAAGTGGTGTCAAATACTTCTAGAGTCAAGCAGTGCATAACTGAGATAGCTACTAATGTATATAATGCAACACTTTACTTTTATCCTCTCAACAGTACCATTGATGATGGAGAATACAAATGTACCTTTAGCATTGGCTCTAATCTACTCTTGAGCAACATTAGTAGCAATGTATCAACATATCTTTTATATGAAGGTTAGCTAATTCTTTATTATAAAAAAGATATATATACTACTGTTGCATCATGTATACAGAGCTAGGACTACCCTCAGTGGCTCTCAGTATAATAAATGAGAGTAGAGTACAAAGTGTATTGCAATGCAGAGTGACTGGAGTGAGCTCAAGGCTATTGGCAATCCCAGAGTTGCAGTGGTTTAAAGAGGGAGAGCTGATCTCATCAAGCTTCAACACAATTGAAAACCTAGGAGTGCCTTTTTCAGGCTTATACAGATGTGCAGCCACACTCACCATCAGTGATATCAACAGTACAGTAGCATCCTTTGCAACTTATGACGTCATCATTCAAGGTATGCTCATATTTACTTCTCAGATATGCTAATTTTATGTCTGCAGGCACATTAAGGGTTTCTGTTTTTGAGAGAGGCAATCAGTTGTTTGATGATAACCTTGAGCTTGTGTGTACTGTGAATGGGTCTTCCTCTTCTAATGTTAGTTGGTATGATCCTAGTGGAGCTCAAGTACTAGATGCATCATTGATTTACGTCGTGACAAATTCTGAAGAAGATTCTGTGATTTCTGTTTTGAAATTTTCTTCGTTGAGATTTTCAGATAACGGAGAGTATCAGTGTCTTGCTCAATTGGATTTGTATATTGCAAGTGAAAGTATTAATGTCTCAGTACAATGTAAGATAAAAGTTTTTTATAATTTTATTCCTTTTTTGTATATAGTACCTGAGTCCTTAGACGTAGAGATTACACAGGACTATACCGGTCTATTATATACAGGAACACCTCTTACCCTTATATGCAGTCTAAACTTGACTGCCATTGACACTAATATAACAGTTTATAGTCAATGGATAAGAACCAGTCAAAATGCTAATATACAAACTGATTCTAGACTCACTCAATCTCTATCAGAGATATCTACCAATGCATATGAGTCAGTTTTGACTTTTAATCCTTTAGACAGTTTGGTAGATGGTGGAGAGTACATTTGTCTCTTTACAGTAAGCACTGATGATGTCGTAACTGAGGATAGAACTGGTAATACCTCAATTCAACTCTCAGTAAATGGTATGTAATGAAACTTACTTCAAGCAAATGTCGTTATTTTCTGTATTATGTATTTTGTGTAGTGACCCTATTATTTGTGCTAATTAACCTTATTTATAACTTTTTTGTAGATGCTCCTCCTTTATTTGTCAATCTTGTCCTACTCAACATTAGCTCCAGTGAAGTATTGCTAGAATGTTCTGTTACTAGTATCGATAGATTGATAGCTACACCACCAACACTAGAACTGATATTCTCTGATGCTGTCCTATATACATTGACTGGTAGTAGCAGTCAAATATTCAGACTGGACCGTGTTCAAACTTTGTCTGGTGTGTATAAATGCAATGCTGAGGTTACAATTGTTGGTCTTAATGATGTCACTGTTAATGGAACAGGAGATAATCATTTAATTATACCAGGTATACTGTTAATTTTTTTGTGATGCATTACATGTTTTTATGCTGTTTTGAGGAAATTCTGATCAAAAATAAAGTTTTAGCAATTTTAAAATTTGCTCAAAAATTTTACAAGAGACAATAAAATAGTACAGAGTATTTTGTCAAAAATGGCTAGAGTTCTCCATTTTTATATTTTTTCTGATACATATACATGTCTTTATGCTAAGTATAAATTTGAACTCAAAATATGATTTTTTATAAATTTTTGAAATTGCTTAAAATCGGACAAAAATCATGGGTTAGTTCATCAAAAGTGACCACAAGAAAATCCTCCATTTTTATAATTTTTCCTAATATTAAATTTGAGCTGATTACAATCAAAATTAGACTTTGTAGAATTTTTGAAAATTTCTCAAAAAATCTAGCCAAAGACCATTGGCAGAGTGTTTTGTGAAAAACAACTTCCAAAGTTTTTGTATTTTTCTGATGCATGTACTTTAGAAAGTTAGATCTGATTCCACTCATCAATAGATTTTTAGAAATTTTTAAAGTTGCTCAAAAATTTGACAAAAGACTATGGGCCATACTGTATTTGTAAACCACACTATATACATTCATAATACAATAATTTCTAAATCTGACAATGTTCCTTTTTTCATAGATATATTAGATATTGATTTATCTGTCACAGATGAGCCATTGCTTGGTAATGAGTACAGTTTAGTATGCACTGCCAATGGTAGTATTACACCTCTAATTCATTGGTACGATGAAAATGATGAGCCTCTCAATACAACTACTGTGTCTGTTACTACCATTGCCCCTGCTTTGATATCAGTTGTGTCTGTGTTAACATTCAATCCACTGAGACTATCAAATGGAGGGCATTATCGATGCTCTGCTATCCTTGCTAATGGAAACAGTACATTAGTAGAAAATGATACTGTTATGGTATTAATACAATGTGAGTTTAAAATGCATTAAAAAATAACAACCATCATTATTTTGTTTATTGTTTTAGTACAATCGTTGCCAGTCCTCTTATCCCTTGATTATGATGGACAACTATATACAGGAACACCACTCATCTTGTCTTGTTTTCTTAACATTAGCTTCATTGAGACGAGTGTATTGACTGACACCCAATGGACAATAAATGAGCTTGATATTTTATCAGTGAACCAGTCTAGAGTCATACAAAAGGACATTGAATTTGCTGATAACGTATTCAAGTCGTCTCTTGAGTTTAATCCATTGAACAGTGTAACTGATAATGGAGAAGTTGTCTGTAGTTTTACTGTCAGTCCTTCTACTGGAGGAGAATATTTTGTAAATGCTACAACAAGAGCAGCATTTAATATTTCAGTAAATGGTAAGGAGTATTATAGTAATGCATATGTATTAATTATATTTATTTTATATAGCACTTGCTTACCTTGGTGTGGATATTTCATTAAGTAGTAATGGCACTTTAGCTACAGTGCAGTGTATTACTAGTACCATTGACAGACTGATTGCCAATCCTGTATTAGAATGGTCATATCCTTCAGATGCTTTAATAGTCTCCAGTACAGCAAATAGTCTTACTTTTAATCCACTCCTAACATCTTCTGCTGGTCAGTATGCCTGCACAGCATCAATCATCATTGATAGCATCAACTTTATCATACAAAACAGCTCTACTCTTAATTTTACACTGCAGAGTAAGTGACATGAAAGTATAACATTTCATTCATGTAATTCTTATCTTTTTAGTACCAAGTCCTACAGTCAGTATCACTGCTAGTCCTTCAGTGGAAGTATTTCATGATACAGTACTGAATCTAACATGCACTGCTACACTATCAGATCACATTGATTCACCGGTTGAGATTATTTTCGAGTGGTTTGACTTTGACGATAGAATAACAATTGAAACTATAATTAGGAGCAATGGGTCTCATTTTGAAAGCAGTGCACTTATTTATCCTGAGCAATACAGTGGTTTCATCATCAGGAATTATACTTGTAATGTTACCATATCATCAATGAGCCATTACCTAATAGATGCTATTAATTCTTTCACTATTCCCATTACTGTACAAGGTAAGGTATAATTGATAAACAATATTTTATTTTTATTCAATAGAGCTTCCTTCTTTTGCTCCATTGATTGAATCAACTGGCAATCCAGTTTTTGGTGAAGAGCTATTTCTCAATTGTTATGTGACTCTTGTCAATGAGCTAAGAATGCAACCAAACATTTATTGGCAAAAGATTGACAGTGATACTAATGAGACTTTGATGCTATCCGGACAAGAATACAGCATGGGACTCCTAAAGGGAATCACATTAACTCTGCCTAATCTGTCCTTTGATTCTAGAGGCTTGTACATTTGTGGAGTCAAGTATGTGTCACCAAGCAGCAACACGAGTGAAGTAACGCATGAAAATTATACAGTCACATTAAAAAGTATGTCACTTTCCTTTAAAATATTTTAATATTATAATTTAATTTTATAGTTCCACCAGTTACTGCTTTTATATTATCTGAGTCTACTACTGAGAGGATTGCTGGAACATTCTTTGAGTTGAAATGCTTATTAAATACAACATTCCTGGACTCATTCAATTCATCATTATTCCCAGTATCCAGTCAATGGCTACACAATAACAGCATGGTCAATTCTGATAGGGTCACTGGTCATATTGATAATGATAGTAATGGGTTTTACAGGACCACATTAGTCTTTTATCCATTGGATACCAGTGACTCTGGTATATATCAGTGCTCACTAACAGTTGGGATTGAGGATCAATATGTACAAACTACACAAGTTAATACCTCAACAACTTTATATATAAGAGGTATGTCTAAAATGATATTAGATGCTTTGTTTTAATTATGATTTTAATTTATTTTATAGATGTCCCTCCTCTCAATGTCACCATTACTTCATCAAGCAATGAGAGGTCATTAGGTAGACCATATTCATTAACATGCAGTGTACCATTGATCGATGGATTTATATCATTGCCAACATTACAATGGTATAATGATAATGATGACCTTCTTGAGTCTTCAGTGGAAGATGCTAATGGCTCTCTCACACTTTCATTTGAATCACTGAATTCAACTCATGCTGGAGTGTATAAATGTTCTTTATCACTATCAGTTCCACAAATTGATATTTATCTTAATACAAGTGCTTCAGAAAACATAACTATTCAAGGTAAATATAGTAATTATTATTTTTTATTATTCACTTCTACAATATTTTTATTCGTAAGTTCCTCAGCCACATTTAGCAATGGAGTTAGAGAGAGCAGGCAACCTTGTTTCTGGTACTCATTTCTCAATAACATGTTTGATTACTCTATCATTATCAAGTCTTCACACAGTACCTACTGTTAGTGTCTTTTGGAGTAAGGACTATACTAACATTACCAATGACAGCAGTCGAGTATTTATATCGCAGTTGATTGAAAATGTGAATCAAAGTGAATATCAGTCTATACTTGTATTCAAGTCTCTCAGCAGTGATGTTGATTCTGGAAATTACACTTGTAGAGCTCAGGCTAGTATTGGGGATGATGATTTCATTGAGGATTCAATAGTTGCTGCTGATTCAGTTACCATTAATGTTACAGGTAATGTAGTTCAAATGTAAATTCTAAGACACAAGGTCAAAAACTATATTTTGTAATTTACAAGAAAATTATAACATTGCTGCATGCATTAACTGAAATAAATTTATTTATTTATTTTATTTTTGTGTAATAGATCCTACCATTCCTGAACTTCTTGTAGAACCAACACAGTTCACTGGTTTGGAGAGTACTTGTGCTGATTCTTATCCTCATGATAATGTCACGTTAATCTGCTCTGCAACTTTCCCTTCTCTATTGGTGGATAGTGACACAGTAACATTTAGTCTTACCTGGTATCACAACAACAGTTTCTATGCTACAAATATAAGTGTATTAAACAATGGGCTCACACTGACCAGTAGCTTATACATAGAAATGGCAGGCTTGTCAGATTCTGGCACATACCAGTGCAAGGCTAGTATTGCTTTCCTTGAGTCTAGTAATGTAACAAGATCAGAGGAAGCTGTGATTGCAATAAAAGGTATGAATAGTATTGTATTATAGTAGCTTTATTGTGTAGTATGTTTCTAAGTATATCTAATCACTTAATTACTCATTTTTATGTATTTATGTACACTACTATAGGTAGTTCACTCCCACATCCAGTTGTAGTAGAGGATTATATTTCAACATCTACAAGTGTCTCTATTACTTTCAGGGTACCATTGGTTGTCTACACACAGGAACATTATAAACTATTGTATGAAGGGTTTGAGTTTCAGACTCATACTAGCCTCAGTAATGAGGTTATTGGTAATACTGACATTACCGTATTGAATGAAAGCTATACCATTGAAATAGATGGACTGGAGGAGAATCATAGTTATAATTTCTCTGTAATTTCATACAGTTGTGTTGGAAATACATCAAGTTCAACTGTCACTTTTACTACAAAAGAATCAAGTATGTCACAATGCATGGACTATACGCATTAACAATAGCATTGCGTTATTTATAATCTTAAAATATATGCAATATTATTGTTGTTTTATTTTAGTTCCCAATGGTTCTCCTTCCAATTGTACATTAATGGAAGTGTCTTCACGTTCTGTGACATTGATTTGGAATGATGTGTCTGATATAGATCAGAATGGAGAATTGACTGGTTACAACGTTACCTGTCAAACTGGAGAAGGCTCTGTTCTGTCACTAAATGCATCAACTAACAGCATCACTATACAAGGATTGAGCCCTTATACAATGTACCAGTGCAATATTGCTGCTGTCAATAGAATCGGACAAGGACCTTTTTTAGAAAATTGTTTGTTCAGGACGTCACAAGAAGGTTTGCTTGCAAATAATATTTATATAGCTACAAGTGTTCATAAAGGCCACTGTTTTTTTATAATCATTTTAGATTGTTGTAATAATAGTTCTTTTATCTTTTAGCACCCAGTGATTCACCTACTAATGTGACTCTATCATCATCTACATCATTCTCACTGGAGTACAAGTGGTCACCACCAAACACTCCCAATGGAAATATTACTCATTACACTTTACTATTCCTTTTCAATAATGGCAGTCAGCCGCTAACTGTCGTGCTTCCTGACTATGTTCTATCTTATAATCTTACTGGTTTATCACCTTATCAACTTGTTACACTGAATATTTCTGCTGCCACATCAATAGGGAATGGGCCTGCTGGTCTCCTTTCAAACAGAACTGATCAATACAGTACATTTCTGATACATGTACATTATACATGTACTTATGTTGCATAGAAAGTTTGAGCCGGTTTTGATCAAATTCGAATTTTTTAGAAATTTATGAAGTTATCAAAAAATTAGGCCAAAGTCCCTGTACTATAAAGTTGCTCAAAAGTTGGGCAAAAGTCCCTGTACTATAGTACAGTGTCTCGAGCCAAATTTTGCCAAAATTGAAAGGCAAAGAATTCTGCATTTTTCTAAATTTATCTAATACACATACATGTTCTTATGTTGTGTAGAATGTTTGAACTAATTCCGATCAAATTTGGATTTTTTACAAATTTTAAAAGTTGCTCAAAAGTTGGGCAAAAGTTCCTGTACTACAGTACAGGGTCTTGGGCCAAATTTTGCCAATATTGAAAAAGAGGGAAATTTGCATTTTTATAATTTTATCTCATGCATATACATGTTTTTATTTTGTGTAGAAAGTTTGAACTTATTCTGATCAAATTTGGATTTTTTAATGAATTTTTAAAGTTGCTCAAAAATTGGGCAAAAGTCCCTGTACTATAGACATTAGTACAGGGTCTTGGGTCATATTTTGCCAATATTGCAAAGGAGGGAATTTTGAAATTTTATAATTTCATCTAATACATACATGTGTATATATGTTATTATGTTGCATAGAAAGTTTGAACTGATTCCAATCAAATTTAGATTTTTGTAAATTTTTTGTTCAAAAATTTTACCAAAATTGAAAAGGAAAAATTCTCCATTTTTATAATTTTATCTGATACACATACATGTTATTATGTTTCCTAAAAATTTTGAACTGGTTCCGATCAAATTTGGATTTTTTATAAATTTTTAAAGTGGCTCAAAAACTGGGCTAAAGCCCCTTAGAATCTCAGACCAAATTTTATTAAAGGCCTTTATACGCTACCCCACATGTTGCTAGCAACAAGTTGCCTAGTGTATGAAGGCCTTTTAGATATAAAAAGGAGAGAATTCTGCAATTCTATAATTTATTTATGTATCCATAATATACATGTAAAAATAATAATTTTAGCCACATTTTTTATTCCATACCAGGGCCTGGTAGAGTGAATGATCTACAGGTGGTTGTGTTGAATGTCAGTGCTGCTAGAGTAGTATGGAGTGCAGTTGAACTTAGTGAAAGGAATGGAATTATAACGTCTTATTTTGTCAATGTGACAACATATGATAATCTCATTATAGCATCGCAAGTAACTGACTCACTGGCAATTGTTATTACTGATTTAGGTAAGAATTCCCTGATGATATATATTGTGTTAAAATTGGCCCAGAATTACATGCATATTAAAAAGTATGCTATAATCACTAATCCACAATTTTCTGAATGTTTGAGCAGTTTTTGACAAATAATTTTTTTAATATGAACATTTTAAAAATTAGCCAATTTATAAAAGAAAGCAAAGGCTCTAGCCCTTAGTTTTTTTTAATGGCTCCAAAATCACCCTCAATTTTTATTACTTCATTTTTGTATAGCATAATAATGTAACCTTGTACAATGTTTAAATTTTTAGAGGCATTAAAGCCATTTATAGTTAATGTGAGAGCTATCAATGGTGCTTCAGAGAATGGCCTTAATTCTCAACTCACATTCTTCACTGCAGAAGGCAGTAAGCAAGATTAATTATTTTTATGCTTGATGATTGCTCTAAGTTATTATTACTATAATTATTCATCATTTTTATTAGCTCCTCCTGCACCGAAGAACATCACTGCTAATAGACTCAATGGGACACACATGCTTATATCTTGGGAACAAATCTCAATAACAGAAGCCAGAGGCTTCATCAAATTCTACCGAATCATATTACAAGTCCTCAGTACTAGTAGGAGAAGGAGACAAACACTGACATATGAAGTACCTGCTAATACTAGCAGTGCTGTTTTGGGTGATCTTAATCCTAGTTTGAGTTATACTGTACTAGTTGATGCTACTACCAATGCTGGCCCTGGATCACCTGCTTCTGCACCTAATTTACCAGGTAATAACAATATTAAATCAGAATTTATGTAAATTTAGTCAGGTAATATAAATTTGTATTTATGTTTTGTGTACTTTTAGCTCCAACTTCATCATTATTTCAAGTTAAAGCTGGTGATTTCCATTCCTGTACCGATATAATAGTTAGTGAACTATTAGCATACAATAATTATTGCATTCCTTTTTATCAATACAGACTAATAGTGAAGCTACATTGAAGAACTTCTTTAAAAGCTCACTCATTGATGTCATCAACAATACTTGTCAGTGTAATTTTGAGAGTGATTATATCACTGATGACAGAATCATCTGCGATGAGACAGCACTCTCTAAAATAACATACAGAGGAAGAATAACAACCTTTAAAAATATATCATCTAATCAATTGATATCCATCATGCAGGAATGGATAGACACTGCACCCACTGTACCTTACTCTCTTGCTGTCATATCATTTGATTCAAGCTGCCCTGTGGAGATTGACTCATTTGATGTACCTTTATGTGGTACACAATTGAGTATTACTTCTATTACCACTAGTATTAGTCCGACATCAAGCTCAGTGCCTGCTACTAGTAATACTGCTCAGTCATCGTCTATTGTAGCCCCAGTGTCTGCAGTTGTTGGTGTACTCTTGATTGCTGGACTAGTACTGGCAATTGTAATTGTATTGATTGTATTGGTTCGAAAGAGAAAAAGGTAAGAATTAATAAATTTATGCTAAGGATAATATTTTTTAAAAACTTTTTAGAAGCCATAATTTTAAAGAAGGAGGAAAGAAGTAAGTTACATTTAAATAAGTTTTTAGCTAGCTTTTATTAATCCCTGCCTTACTGCATGATGCATGTACATATAATCATTTTAATTCTTTTACAATAGTTTTTCCATGACACTTGCTAATGCTGCTTATGCTTCACGCTCGCAAATTTTCAGTAATACTCTACAACGACCCTTGCCACCAAATCCAGTAATGGAATTACAAAAGATCGATCAAGAAGATGAGATTTACGAGCATCTAGACAATGATCCAGGAGTGAAGGAATCTGCATTTAAAGATAAAGACGTCAAAAACTGTGAACTCTTTGAAAATACTTATGCAGGTAATGATAGTGGAAAGGAGGGGCAGGAGCCACCAACATACATGGAGGTGATTGGTGGCATTGCTGGTGGTAAAGAGACTGTGAAGCCTGATGGAACTGATGCTGCTGGTCCCATTGATATTTCTAATGCCCTGAGCAAGATTGATGATGACCATGACTATGCATAATAAGTTTGAATTCATGCTACTAATTTTAATAATAAAAGGCTGTCTTGTTTCTTTATAAAATAAGTTGTTTATTTAAAACTTTAAAACAATTATAAAATAATTATTAATGACTTAGCATCAGCAGCGAAATAAGAAATGACACACAACATGTATGTTATAATATTAACTGGAAGCATACTCTGCTGCCTCTGTATTAGTGGTAAGATGCTTCATGACATTCTGAGCTACTTTGCTAGCTCCAATAGCATCAGACTGAAGTACCTTAATGACAGTACTCCATGTGTATGCATCAGGACCATTATCTTTCCATCTGTTCAGAATCACAATGAACCTTACCAAAGAATCGTGATAATCGACATAAAGACTCCTCAAGAAACCATCATCCAAATGAAGTGCTGTTCCAAATTCATAAAACTTGTCTTGAATCTTCACAGCTACCAAGTTAATAAGATCAACCATATCAGGAGGAGAATCAGCTTCTATAAGAGTATCATAAATTGTATAATGTGAAATGCTAACTTACTTGGTATTTTGTGTTGAATGTCCTCAAAATTAAGATGATATTTATTACAGAGCTTACAGTAAACTCCCTTATAATGGTCTTCTTTATCTTCAGGTTCTGGTTCAGGTGTAGAAGGAGATTCAAAATGATCTTTGACTCTGTGTGCTAAATCTTCAAAACCAATCTTGACCAAAGCTGCTGCTAAAGGCTCCCACGATTCTGATCTATTCTGATCTCTCCACTGTATTATAACTTTCCTGATTGGTTGAACAGAATTAGTGCTTGTTAGTTCAATGTCCTGCAGCTGACCAAGGGTAAGACCTAATCTGTATCCAAAGTCGAACCATCTTTCTCTTAGACCTCTTTCACTTGTAATAATGCTAAGACAATCTCCAAACAATAAATCACTTGCTAAAATTGAAGAAAGCAGTGACTTTTTAATTTTTTTAATAAATTGTACCTACCATATGTCATTAGATCAATACCAGATCTAGTACTACTTGCAGATGAAGCTGGAGAAAGAGGTAATTCTAGAGAACCTTCTAACAGGATTGTATTTTTTACAGGAGGATAAACTTGATTGAATCGAACTATCACTTTTTCACTTCTTTCAACTACTGCATCTGATGTAAACTGTATTCTGAAACGAGGAGGATAAGAGAGAAGATCTTCCAGCATTTCGAGTCGTTCAAGTTCATCTTCAGTCACTTCTGCAGCATTTTCACATCCCATCATTTGATAATAATCGATATCTTGAATAGAAATCTATAAGTATAATAGTAGATCTAATGGCACATTTATTAGTTAAACATACATAGTCTTTGGAAAACCCGACTTCTTCTCTTTTCCAACCAGGGACACTATGTGGCTCAAAAGATAGTGATACTTGACCATCACCAGTAAATGTGACTGGTTCATAAAATGATATTTTAAATCCTTCTTTAGCACACTGCTCTTCAACAACCTATATAAATGTAGTTTGACCTGTTATTCATTCATTTTTAATACACACCTTCTTGCAGCCTTTTTGTTGGCATAGAAAAATAAATTGTACTAATAATTCCCTTCCATTTTTCTTATCAGCTCGTGCTATCAAATACCTCCTGGGTATGGATTTGTATTTTCGCTTCTGGATAGCAACACAGTTAGAACAAAAGTGAGAGGACAAAATTTTAAATAACCCAGGTGAAACTTGAACTTGTATTCCATAACTTTCCTGGAAAGTTATAACATCAGAGCAGTCATCATCACGAGCTGTTAATACTGTGAATTGCTGTAGATTAACTTCACTGGAAATAGCAATATGATGTGGAATGTACAGTTCTGCACTTTTATCCAGCTTTTGGTCAATGTGTACCCATACAATAGGAGTGACTGGTACATAATCACCAAACTTAAACTTATCACTGAAGAGACATACTCCAAACCATACAGTAGCTGACTCTTGTACTGCTCCCTCTGGAATAATGAGAGTCACTCCATACTGACTACAGTGATACACTAAACCACTCCTGTCTAATGATAGCTTTTGTAGCTCACCAAATGCATCTGGAGTGAACAACAAAATTATAATTTTACTCCTGATTAGCAATCACCATACTTTTCATTTTTATAAGTAGCCTATCATTGACTATATAACTGTTAAACATTTGGTCACTAGTTTTCCCTGTGCTTTAAATTAAAAGCATGAATATTATACATAATGATTACTTACAATACATTGGTTCCATCACAGATTCCATATCAATTTGAGGCACAGGTAATGTTGGAACATCATTTTCACATGACTCTAGCAATACAGTTTGTACTAGACCTATTAAGTTTCTTGATTAATAATAATAAAGGTGCATGTTATTTTACCTGCTTGTACTTCAACAATTGGTAATTGACATGCATTTCTCTGTGCAATTGGTTCTATTAATGCATGCATTGAACTGGTTGAAGTAGTAGACTCATCATCTGCAATATTAAAAGGTATAATTTACAGTTTTAAAGAATTTTACCTGATGGTTGATTTTCAGTAGAGAGCAGATCAATAAATTGTACTGAGGAGGAAAGTCTTTGGGATGTTGAAGCTCTATTTCTTAAGCATTGCAAACAAGTTAAGTTTACTCTCATGCTTTTCAATTTAGAGCTAATGTTATGAATACAGTTAGAAAGTCTTTTTCTATTGTGGCACATACAAAAACAAACCAGAGTGACCAATATCATAATTATGGTTAATGTTATAACTACAATAACACTACTGGAGCTTAATTCATTTGTAACTTGTAGACTTGTAGAGTTATAGTGAATAGAAGTTTTATTTACTGGTTTGACAAGAAAATAAGTAGTTGTTTCATGACTACAACTTGTTTTGCATACATCAACTGAACAGATCAAGACACTACTACAATTGGTTTGCTTTTGAAGTCCAGTAGTATTATAATATACTTGTACAACAGAAGCATTGGCTTGTACAGTAACACCACTCTGTAACTGTATACCAACATAATACACTCCAGGATTTTTTATGTTAAAGGAATGTGAAACGGTTTTAGTTGTTCTTTCCTGTGTCACTTCTGGTATAAAAAAACAATGCGAATCATTATATGTAACATTATTTTGTATTAGCATCAGAAAATCGTTGTAACATGTTTCATTTGTAAAAAGATAGAGGCAAGCTGGATAAACAATGCTAATACTTCTTGTCAAAATTATCGTTATGTTGTACATAATTGAAGACCCAGAGAGCAAATAAATAGGCTCATTACTTTCAAGGTAATTAAAATCTCCTCTGTATACAGACTTTGATCGCTCTGACAGCAAGGGTAGTTGCTGCAGTGGAAGGTAGTCTGTGATAGTTGATGGAATATCATTGGATAACAGGATAGTATATGGTTCTTCATTTGAATAAAATGTTACTGTTGATGACGTTTGTGACCTGATTGGTACAAGCAAAGAGCTGTTGCCTAGTTTATCACCAATTTCAATTTCAAGAGAATGAAAGTCAGGGTTTTTTCCAGTTGAATTAGGTATTAAACTTATCGTTACAAGCAGTAATACAAAAATTATAATCGCAAGAACAATCATGGCAATGAACTGAATCAAACACAACTGTATAGTAACCCTCATAAGATGTCTAGAATGATCTATTGGTTCATGAAAGGTAATAATTTTACATTTATCTATCCATCTTACTTCTAGAATAAATAGATCTAATGCTTTCAGATTCCATCTTTTGTTTTAGGTATCTATTCCAGTTGTTAAGTGATCAAAATCTTATCTTGTCCTAGTTTTGTTAGCACTCAGCATGATGTCATAATAGCATCACCCAACATCATGTGATTTTGTTGTTGACATAGAGGGTACATTCCTAAGATTGTTTTCACCACAATTCACTATGCTTTCAGACGAAGTCAACAAAAAGTGTAATAATAAATCTACTAGTATTAAAACTAGATAAATGTACAGTATAGCAAGCAAATTCAAAGCCAGTGATTTGTGAATTTATTTACATTTCATTCATAAGGTTATAAAGGGGTAAATAAGACTATTGGTGTGTGGGCGTGACCTTTACAATTTAGTTCAAAAAGGTTCAAAATTTTAAATTATAAAATCAATAGTCTATATAATATGCAGTTCAAGGTTCCTTCAATTTACTTCGTCTCTGATGCATTAAAAATAACTTCAAAAGGAGCTTTAAGATCCTTTGGCACCAAATGAAATGCAACCTTTAAATAAAATATAATAATAATAATGATAATAATAATAACAATTTATTATTTTAAGTATTTCTTACTTTAGTAGAGAGTGCTGGTACTGTCATAATGTATACTGGGGAATGAAAACTGCAAATAAAATTTGTACTTTGACTACAATCAACTTTTATAGTGACACTTTTATCGGTCTAGGAGCATAAAAAAAGACAAAAAAGTGAATGGAGGAGGGAGAGTTAAAGAAAAAATGTAGGCAAAGAGAGAAAGGGAGTGCTGAATGATACTGCTCTAGTGTGTGCAAGGCCACAAACTTCACCCATGTAGTAGGTGTGTCATTAAGGGAGGGTACCAGGTATGACTGATTGGAGAGGAGATACACAAATACACATATATTTATGGCAAATCTAATGATTTTAAGGCTGCAAAATTTGTGGCAGCCATTTCAAAATAGGCTGAATCCTACTTAGTAAGGCTAAAGTATTACTAATAACATAGTATTAGGTACAAATATGTATATAGCAAGGCCATTTAGGATATTACTCAAACACTGACTGTACCTTATTCTCAATGAATGTAGTTGCAATATTAGCCGGACTAACAAGTGTATAAGTTATCATTAGTGATTCATCAGCTCCATCTACTCTACCAGTAACTGATCCAGTACTCTTAGCTAGTGAAGCTAATGCTCTCTCAACGTGTTGTGCTGATGATAATTGTGATAATATCTCAATTTCACCTTCACATGATTCAGTGAATACTTCAAACTCAAAAGGACAAGCCTAAAACAAATAACATGTATATGTACATACTGAACTTTATTTTAGAATTTTTGTAAAGATAATACTAGAAAGAATGTAAAACATTGAGGGCTCCTCCTTCTGACCACACCTCCTAGTCATGCCCCCAAACGTACCCATACATACATGTACGTACATACATACATGTACATATAAAAATTCTCATAAGTAAGGGCTTTGCCCAATTAGTATAGTACATGTATGTACATGTAAAATACCGTATAGCGGGAAATTTTTGAGGGAGTTAAATTTGGCAAATTACTAAATTTTGGTGATTGGTAAATTTTAATTTCACGAATTAGTGGCCACGTGCCATTGAGCATACATAATTATAATGGCTGAAAATGGCTGTTTTTATTTTAGCAAATGGCTATCAAAATGCCAAATTCACCAAATTTAATTTCCTCCAAAACTTCTTAGTATACGGTAGTAATTTTACATGTACATGCATTTTTTTGTACATGTACCTTAGTCAATTTTAGTTGCTTGTTATAGCCCATTGCTAGTATGATATTCCTCAAGTACTGGATACCTCCTTCCAGACCTCTCTTTGCTGCTGACTCCTCATTGAAGAGCATAAACCCGCTCAGTAATAATTCAGAATCATCATTGACTTCATAATTCTCTATAAAAAGAAACAAATAACACTGTAGGACTGTGCATGTATGTGCAGAGTTTAGTGATAGATATAATTTACTAAATACTGTATAGCAAGAAATTTTGGAGGGAGTTAAATTTGGTGAATGGCTGAGTTTTGGTGATTGGCAAATTTTAATTTGGCGAATTTGTGGCCACGTGCCATTGAGCATGCGTATAATGGCTCAAAATCGCAGATTTTATTTTGGTAAATGGCTATCAAAATGCCAAATTTGCTAAATTTAGCTACTTCCAAAATTTCCTTTTATATGGTACATAATATAATCTTTTGCAGGTTCATAACTTAAGATTGGAATCAGCTTGAACTATATAGCATAAGGCCATAATCAAGAAAACTGACATAATATTCATAACTATAGTTGTTGGAAATGGCTGATCACAATAAATGTCAAATGATAGCACTAAATACTGTATAGTGCAAAATTCTTTAAGGGCTGCAAATTTTGCAAATTTGCCTAAAAATCTATTTCACGGATTTAATTTTTGCAAATTTATACCGTCTGCCATCTTGTGCCCTAATAATTTGATTTTCACGAAAGTAATTTTCGCAAATCTTCAAAAAATCACAAAATCTGCAAAATTTACAGTCCTTGAAAATTTTGCACTATATGGTACTGTACACGTGATACCTTGTATAGCCTTCCAGTATTCATCATTATCATCACTGTACTCCAGATTAGCTCTATCAAGGAAGAACTCTAACTCGTTCTGTGTAATGGAGTCACTCATATCAAGATCATGACGATGGAACAACTCAGTAAACACAGAGCTACAATAAAACAAATGAAGTATATCGCATATATGTAGCTAGAATCTTTCAAGGCCCAAAATTTTCATGAATTTCTTGTTTTATTAAAAATTCACAAAAATAATATCAATTTAATGCAGAGTTTAACATGGCCAAAAAGCAGAAAAATATTGCAAAAATTAAAACCACAAAATAAATTTTTGGATGAATTCATAAAATTTTTGGGCCATGACGTTTTCTTGCTATGCCAAAAACTAAATTTTGGAACTGAAACTCTAATGATCTCAATCTCTGTATAGTCAAGAGTACCAGTACTCAAATTCAATATACAAATATTTACACATATGTACATGTACATGTACATGTAATATGCATATAGACATACAGTACATTGTTGCATACTAAAA